CCGTCTCTGTACCCTCCTTCCCTCCGTTTCCCCAGTGTTTCCCCCCCGATAACCCGAACCGCTCCAGGGGGGCACCACGATGGCGGCTCGAGCGGTCAAAGGGTTGGTGCTCACCGCCACTGTGCTGCTGTTGAAGAGGACCGACGATTGCATGCCGCATCACCAGCAGATTCATGACATGCAGCAGGACGTTCGCCGCTCCGCCATTTGCAGGGGCGTCAACCCGCTGTAAGTGATTGGTCCGCTCTACCGTACGGTACTGTTGTAGTTTATGCCGGGGTCAAGGTATTCAATTAAGTGCCATTGTGAAAAGCTTCTTGTTTTCGTCGAAAGTAGCCAAGTAGTGGCATGGAAACTAGCGGGGGGGGGCGGGGGCTGCCATGACCACGGAAACCGATCAAATTTCGTTCGTAAGACAAGCAGACCGCGGCCTGGTTGGTACGTTCAGTTGCGTTTTTCGTAGGGGGGGTCCCCCCTACGGGAACGCAAAGGAAGGTGTGCTGCTCAATGCCATTTCGAAAGGCGTTTCATCCCTGTCCCTTCTTCCTTGCACATGTGCCACCTGTCTCTCCATGACAACAGTCAACACTTCGGGAGCAAGATGGCGGTTCCCATGGCAGGTTCCCTCCCGGCTGCTTCTGCTATTTCCGCGAGCAGCAGCCTGTCGGCGCAGCCTACGAGCGCTTATCATGTCGATCTCGGGTCAGGTAAGCTCACGGCAATGTTCTTAAGTTATCACGTACTATGCAGCTGTCTGTGTCGCGGAGTCACTTGGTGCGTTTTAATTGGACTTGAACGTCCACTTATTTCCCGGGCCGAGTTGTGTCGTCGGCAGCTGACCAGGCCTGCATAACTTTCCCCCTTTGGCTCGAGGCCACGTGCGCCGTTGTTCTCCACCGCAGCTCCCGCCCCTGGCTTTGAAACGCTGACACGTTCGCAGCGTAGGTGGGACAGGGAGACAACGGCCGCTGATCAACAGATGGCATACCCCCTCGTTGCACGTCGCCCCGGTAGTCTAGTGGTATCCACGTAATCCGCTAGTCGCAGAGGTCACGAGCTCGAATCCCCATGGGGTGAAAAATTTATGAAAGTTGCGGGTGAAAGCGAAATATCAGCTAAAAATCTCTCGTGAGTACCAAACTTCGACGTTAGCACCGTTGACGAGGGAAAGGGACGGCTGGACCCTTCTCGCGATAAAAAAAAATCAGAACGCACCGCAGGAGGAAGGTGGGGCATGAAACGAAATAAAAGAAGAAAAAAAGCCCTGGTGTTTACCCCCTCCTGTGTGACCCTGGAAGGCTGTAGTCGTACGAAAACGTACACTGAAAAGTGTAGTACTCTACATTCGCTGAAAAGTGTAGTACACGTCTCACCATGAAAAATGGGACACTGTCGCCATAATAAATAGGACGAAAACACACAACACACCTCGCCAGCTTTTCCCCTGATGTGCGTGTACTGCCTGCGCTGCTTGCCGTGTGGTGTTTGCGTTGGATGCGGTTCACCAGGTGAAACCTGTGACCTGGAGGACGCGGAGTGTCACGGCGACGACACAGACAAGATGACCTTCTCGGTGCTGTGCTGGATCTGCACGTTCTTCGTCTCGTTCATGGTGAGAAGAAACAGTGTTGCACTCCAACCTCGTAGGCAGATCCGTACCACGTGTCGCCTCATGCAGCGCGTGTCTTTGTTGCAGACGGGGTGATGCCTAGAGTCGTTTACGTCGCCAAACTCAACTTGCTTGTGCAGGGCGCGCAGGAGTGTGCGTGTGTGTGTTCGCCTCTTTCTTCTGGCGCCAGTCTGCAGCACACCCCTCGGTGTAGTTTTGTGTGCGACATATCACCCGGGGTCATCCAGAATATGTATGTATGTATTTTTTTCCAACCTCTCCTCCTGTGGCTTAATTTTTTTCGCGAGAAGGGTCCAGGCCGTCCCTGTCCCTCGTCGACAGCAAGCCCGAAGAGTGCGTGCAATTATGATCGTTTTCCACTGCAAATCGTAGGCAAAAATAAATCTCTCCCGCGAGAGAATCGAACCCGAGCCGCCCTGCTGCTGGTACGTTACGAGGTTCACCACTAGAGCACCGGAGCTAGGAGGTGCGACGCGGAAAACACGAACCGAAGGAGCGAATGGATCGGTGACGCCCGAACAGCAACTAGCCGGCCCTCTGACCTTTGTCGTTCGCTGTCGTTCGCTTCCCCCTCCCTCTCGGCCGTAAAACTGCTGTTTTTGTGTTATCACCGCGAAAAGGTCGCGCGGACGATCATCGTGGCCGCCGTGTACGTCGCGGGATCGGCAACGGCCCTGTTCGTGGCGATCGGGGGTATGGCGTCCGGCCTGCGCCTGGAGGTGGCCCTCCTCCTTGGCTAAGGGTGAAGGGCGGGCGGGCGCGCTCTGAGAGGCCTGAATCTGGCGGCGACGATGCCTGACCACATTGCCTCGCCGGCCCAGGGCAGCGGGAGGCACTCCGGCCACCACCAACAACACCGGCGGTGGACAGAGTCTGACGCTTTTGCTGGAGGAGGAGGCGGGGGAGGCGGAGGAAGCCACGCCCTTTGTCCCCAGGCCTTCGCGCGTCGTGTTCTCCAACACCGACCGCTTCGTGGCCCAACGCGCACGACGAGAACATGGACGATGTCCGTCCTCGTTGCACCTGTAAAACACATCGCAGACCCCCCCCCGGAGGGAAAAATGACGGAGTAGCGACTATTCGGAGGGACCGCTTCGATATATAACAAACGGCAGTGGTGTCGAATGATTCCTGGTGCAACAGCAGTGCTTTAAGTGGAATTTAAACGGAAACAGTTCGTTACCTGGGTTCATGTTCTCGAGGAAGGAGTTGTTGATATTATAGGCATTAATTACAGTGCCACCAATTATTGTCGATCTATTTTCGTGAGTGCTTTCGTCAACGATTGTTAATGGTGGCAGGAAAGCACGACCTTGTCGCTTTCTTGTACTGTGTGGGGGCACGTTTGGTTGCCACATCGAGTTGTTTCACCCCACGTCCCGTTCCGACATCTCGGGAACTCTTGGAGGGCTGTAGGCAAGCTGAGTGCCGTGTTGGCACCGGGAGCCGTTGGTAAATTGGCTCGTGTGTGTGTCCCACGTTTTGTCGCAAAGATGGGTGCAGCAGTGCCGACCTGTTCGTAACCAAGGTCTACTATTTTCAGCAAGGGTCAAAGCCTTACAATGATTTCAGCAAGGGGATATTTATCTAATCAGCTGCAAGTAGGTTGTAGTGACGCCGGCGACTAAGCCCAATTTCTTACGCCATCAAAGTACTATTCAAGGTTCTGAGCCTCAATTTCTTGTGAAGATGACAAAATGCTTTTTGTGAGCAGACCGTCGCTGTATGCTGTAAAAAAGCGGGCAGGAGGAGGGAAACTTCGGAAGGGAGAGAACCCTCTCGAGATTGCGGTAGGGAATGAGGAGTGGCGAAGGGGTCGAGAAACCCGCCTGAACTACAGTCGAAGCGTGCCTCATCTGCAGTAGGATTGCTGTCTCTCTCACTCGAAATCGTCTATAGTCTATACAACATCATCATCTCCGACGGCTACTGAGCCTCGTGTTGCCGTGTTCGCTCTTCCTAGCCAAACTAGTCGGCTGCTGCGATAGAAACTGTTCCAGCAGCAAGTACAATTTGGAACGTACCGGGGTTGGTGCAAACGTACCCCACACTACTAATTGCCGTGATGCGGTTTGGGCATCGCCAGCAAGTCCCTCTGTGTGCTCATCCAATCAGTCAGTTGGTCTCTGACAGTCACGCACGCGGAAGCTTGCTTATTGACGACTTTGACGGGCTGTGTGTGTGCGGGTGTTCACTTTGGCAGCATGTACATGTGCGCACCAAATCCTTCAAGTATGGCCACTTTATGGAAACCTTAGGTGTGTGTGTGTGTGTGTGTGTGTGTGTGTGTGTGTGTGTGTGTGTGTGTTTGTTTTTCGTCCTATTTACTATGGCGACAGACAGTCCCCCCATTCTTCGTGGTGAGACGTGTACTAAACTTTTCAGCTTTTCTACAACTACAATCATCCAGGGTCACACTGGAGGGGGGTAAACACCACCGGGGCTTTTTTTCTTCTTGTTATTTCTTTTCATGCCCCACCTTCCTCCTGCGGTGCGTGCTGAATTTTATTTTTATCGCGAGAAGGGTTCAGCTGTCCCTTTCCCTCGTCAACGGTGCTAACGTCGAAGTTTGGTACTCACGAGAGCTTGTCAGCTATATTTCGCTTTCACCTGCACATTTCGTGAATATTTTCACCCCATGGGGATTCGAACTCACGACCTCTCTCTGCGACTAGCGGATTACGAGGATACCACTAGGCCACCGGGGGCGACCGGTGTCAGCCTTAGTCTATGCTTTGGATGGAAGAAGTTGAATCACCCATTCCTGAAAACGTATGCGGTCGATACTGTGCTTGTTTCCGTGCGGTGTGCTCATGTATGTTTAGGCGCGGGTTCGAAATTCGTGATCACAACGAAAGTAAGTTACCACTTCTTTTTCAAACAACAGCTGTGGGAGAGACAGAAGGGGATTCACCTCAGCTCTGCTGGTAAGTACATTATTAAGCGCACTCGTCGACGCAGCACCGCGGTGAAACAGACCAGTCTACGGTATGTACGTTGTACACATCGGAAGGATATCGATCACCACCACGCAAGGATCCAAGGCTAGCTACAGTCCAGAGGTTCTTGCCCGCAATAAACACGTAACTGCCGTTGCATAGAGTGCGTACGTACTGCTGTAGTATGTGCATTCATTCCCTTCGCCCCGGTGGTCTAGTGGTATCCTCGTAATCCGCTAGTCGCAGACAGAGGTCGTGAGTTCGAATCCCCATGGGGTGAAAATATTCACGAGATGTGCAGGTGAAAGCGAAATATAGCTGACGAGCTCTCGTGAGTACCAAACTTCGACGTTAGCACCGTTGACGAGGGAAAGGGACGGCTGGACCCTTCTCGCGAAAAAAATAAGATCCAGCACGCACGCACCGCAGGAGGAAGGTGGTGCATGAAAAGAAAGGAAAGAAGAAAAAAGCCCTGGTGTTTACCCCCCCTCGTGTGTGCCCCTGGATGGTTATAGTTGTACGTAAAAATACACTGAAAAGTGTAGTACTCTACGTACGCTGAAAAGTGTAGTACACGTCTCACCACGAAGAATGGGGGGACTGTCGCCATAATAAATAGGACGAAAACACACAACACACACATGCTGCTGCAGGACGTCTCAAGTGTGTCAACCAAGTCAACCACAACGTTCAACACTCAAACTTGCATCATGCTCTCCAGCGGAAAACCTACACACACCCAGGCCGGTCGGTCGAGGTGTACATGGGCGGGTGCGTTTGGCTGTACAAAATATGATAGCTACCGTGCTACCGTGCTGTACTGCTCTGGTGTGCTGGGTGCTGTGTGACAGCCTGTGTGCTGCACAAAACAGGCGGGGCAGATTATTGTCGTGTCGGCGTCTAAAGGCTATTGGGTCGGGTAGTGACAGTCCCGTGTGGCGTGTGGCGCTGGTTCGCGGAATTTTCCGACAATCTTTCTTTGGCCACCTGCCGTATTCCGACATGGAGACCACCACTGGCTGCTGCTGGAGATGTGGAGATGGGAACTTGCGCAAAGCACAACCCATCGACACAGCAACCACCAACCCACCACCTTGGACGGAATGCGGTCGAAACAGCGAGCTATCGATTCTCGCGGCTCTCCATGTGACCAAAAGAAGCCTGGTGAGTGTTGTCTAGTAGTACGTGCGTGTGCTTGCTGCTGCCCGTGTCTCAACTATTTTCTTCAAACAAGGGACACATTTTCTGCCGCCACAACGCGGCCACCCACTGCAGGAGCGGGAGCAGAGCGGCGGCCGGCTCGATTCTTAGGCGGTGATCCCCCCTTCCAATACTCTTCACACCCCGGGCCAGACAGCGTGCACTTATGGCTGTACGAACCCGTTGTAAAGCTTGGGGCTTCGAAAGCACATGGTGTGGGGCTTGCGAAGGTGGTACGGGGTGATGTCATTCGCTTGCTGCCTGGTGATGATGTCTTGCCAGGGAGGCAGTATGTCAGACAGGAAGGAGCAACCACCAACGGGCGGGTGCCACAAGAGATTCATGAAGAGGTTACGAATAGTAGGCATAAATTACGCTGATTCGCGGTGTTCGGCGATCCCACCGAACCACCCTCGTCTCCACAACCACATATTCGGTACAAGTAGCGAACTGCGTGTAGACTGCTGTAGAACAGTCTACAAGTACAAGCTTGCGACACATATACTTTGCGTCGTGCTTGTTTATTTTTCGGTCAAGCGAGAGTTTAGCCAAGGATTATGTAAGTGCGTCATGTATTTATTTCCGATTGGCCGTGGCAGATGCGTAGATTGTAGGCCTATGCTGCATATCAGGAGAGGTCCATCGTAAGTACCCGAAAGGAAATGTAGTGGTGGGACACCTCGAAGAACGCTTTCTCAAAGGAAGGACGGCGGAGTTCGTCCGCCCTTCGGGCCTACGGCCGAAAAACTTAGCCCCGAACGGACGGACGAATTCTGCTGTTGTTGTATCTTGTGAAGACGGTCTTCAAGGTGCCCTGCGCCACCACAAGTCCTTGCAGATGTGCTCAGCATGAATCTGACTTGATGTACCAGCCATTCGGGCATGTGTATCAATAGGCGTGTCATCGCATACATAACGAACTGTAGCAGAAAATATGTTCGTTCGGAAGAATGTATAGTGTACACCTTTCCAAGGGAGGTCGACAAGTCTTTGCTGTGAGGGTTGAAGGACACACGTGGATGTTGGCCTACTTGAGGACGTGGAAGCTGGCGCACACACCGCCTCGGAGGAAAATTGGTGGCCGAGGGCGGTGTGGTGGCGTCAATTTCCGCCGAAAACGTAGCTGCCACCGAACTGCAGCAGCAGTGTTACCGCCATGCCAGCGCCCCCGGTGGGACACGCGCGCACTCACCTTGTAGGTGGAGCCAATGATATCACACCCCGGCTTTCTCCACGACGAAGACGACGTGGTATGTATCATGCGATACGTGGCCGGAATGCTCTCGACGAGCAGTTCCAACGCCGCTATTTTTCGGCCCGTCACTCTGTTTCCCCTGCTGTGGGAGTAATCGACCTTCGAAAATCGTTCCAGATGTCTTTGGTCACCTACGGCAATGCCCTTCCCTGGAGGTGAATGAAGGTATGTAGAATGTAGGATCACGAACTGTAGAACGTAGAACCCGTAGGATTCAAGGCAATATTCTACTCAACGTCAGTATTTACCGATACGAAAACCAAAAGAATGGAACACAAATAAAAATAGTAACTTGAAAAATAGGTCCAACAACTCAATTTTTGATTCGGTGAGACCCATCTCAGACGGGTCAAATCTTGCGGTCTTAGTCTAAGTCTTGATCTTCGACAAAGATTTGGTTGTTTCACTTTTCATGGTCACAACATCTTCCGTCACATCTTGGCCAAGACTGTCAAGGGTCCAACAGTTGCCCTTTCGAACGAATCTTGACCCAAGATCGGCTAATTCAACGTTTTCGACAAATGCCGTACGGTGTGGTCCTGAGTCAGCGCACCCCCGTGCGTCAAAAAGTGATTTCACTCAATTTCCGCACAGGGTCATGAGTCAGCGCACAGGGGTGCGATGACTCGCAACCTAGGGTAGTTGAGTGCCAGCGATTCCGGGGTAATTTTCACCCCTGCAACCATGCAAGTGCTGGCATGTTGTGGCTCTGCTGTGTGGGTATGTCATCGTCGCACACCACACGGGAGGTATGGATCGGTAAAGTAAACTTGAACATTAGCCATTCAACCAAAACACGAGAATGATAAACAGCCATAAGCCAAAGGTTGTGTGTGGCGTGTGGGCACAACTCGACGGTGGGAAACTACTTATTTCCGCCCGCGGGATTTCGTATTTTCGACGCGCTTCGTTTCGCCGTATTTGTGGTGTGTGTATGCTCATGTGTCTTTCCTGTTAGCATCTCGACCGCAACAACAGGCTGATCGACGAAATGTGTGTTTTTGCGTTCTCAACGCCTAGCATCCACCGGGACCAACTGCTGTGGTTGACTGATGTGTGTGTGTAAGTATGTTGCGTGTGGAGCCTGCAACCGCTGCACAGCTGAGGTTTCCGTGCGTCTACAGAGGGGTCCCAGTACGTACATACTGGAGTTCTCGCACAGGGTGTGCGTGACACATCAAAACCAAACGATTTAAGTCTATGTCCACACAGGATCCGGAGTCACCGTACACCTGTGCGAATGCGAAGTTCGCCATGAGCCGAATATTCTCAAGGAACACGCACCAACTACGGCACAGCGGCGTCCTTGGCCACATATCGAGACCCGAGAGAGAAATAGCCAATTGCGAGTGAGTACATACACTAAAGAGGTCTTCAGAAGATACCGGAGAGATATGCTCGCCGCAAATAATGTGCAACGCGAAAAGCAGCTGCAACACATTATTTTGCCGGGTGATTTTATGCGAGGATACTGAATGTACCACATGCGCGTAGTAACCCGCCGAGGGCTCCCCTTTCATGAGCACACCCCTCTAAAATCGAAGACAGCCAATGAAAATGGCGCTTTTTCAATAAGGTATCTTTTCCATCCTCCCTACGTTCCTTACTGTATGTAGTCGTCTGTTCTCTATCGCCCCGTCTCTATTTCTCATACATGTACGTGTCGATGGACAGTGGGATGACTGTGTTGTAGAGAGTGTTGTGCAATTTCGCGGTCCATAGTTTCACACACGTGTGCGTGCGCTACCCCGCTGAGATGCTTGCGTCTTGCTTGGCGGATAACGAAGGAGTGCCACGGAGAGAGAAAGGCAGATTGACAGAGAAACAGAGACAGAGTGGCGGAGACAGCGAGTTGTTTTACTTGAGGCTAATATTGGGTGCAATTTGCAAAATTGACTCCATGAAAATGCCACCGCAGGATGCTCGTAGGAAGTTACGAATGAATGACCCACTACCGTTGGGATCTCCGGCGGGGTGTGTCTCAGATTAGAGCCAGCAGTCCTTGCGTTCCTAGAACCTTGTCCCCCTTCCGAGAAGAACGATCCTCGTGGTGCCTCTCTTCAAACACACAATTTTAAGTTTGCCTTTTTGGCTTTCTCCGTATGCTGTAGAGGAGCTCTCTCCGTACATGTGCCCCCCACACTGGGTCACCAACACTGGGTCACCCAGACTACCCGACATAAATATGTAGTTCTACCAAGTAGAAAAAGTGTTGTGGAATGGCGACCGAAGCCCGATCGAATCTGATAACTCCTGGCCCATAAAGACCAAACAGAGTTAAGCAGACAAATAGCAGTCAGCATGATGATGAAACAGCATTGCATCAGTCGAAACGCCAGACAACAATTCGTTGCCGAATTACGATGAAAGCTGGGCTAAATTTTTCATGGACGTGCCATCAAAATTGCAACTACAGTACCAGTCCTAAACAGTCTAGTCTACTGATTGCTGTCACAACGTACGCTGAAGAAAGCTGACTAAATTTCATCGAAGTTGATCAACTGTGATCGCATTACTGGACTTTAACATGCCCCCTTCCCATCAACGTTGATCAGGGTTGATCTGTCTGGATGGACTGAACCTAAGTTGATGGCAACTTTTGCATCAACTGAAAATGAAATAGCGAAAATGGTTTTCAAACGACCGCACGGGGGTGCCATGACTCGCGCCCCTTTCGGTATTCGACCAGGCTGACAAGTTTTGGTAGGTGCGGCGATATTACCATCGGTCAGGTTCAACCTTATCGTCCATCGAGCTATGACATCTGCATGCGTCACATTTGTACGGGCCTCATACGCACCCTGTCTTCACTGAATCGACGCCACGGGCGCCGACAGCGGAGAAAAACGATCGAGGCGCGCGAAAAAATCAAAGGTATTTTCCCTGGCCTGCGCCTCGTGTGTCATCGAAACAGAGAGCACACATACCTTACTTGCGAGCGGACAACCCCCATTCACATCTCTCACTCCGTGAGTTACGCATCGAGGCTTAAAGCCTTCGATCCTTCCACCTCCACCAGCCGTTCTCTCTCGGGTGCAGGTGAGGTTGTTGTGGGGTGCTTCTATCCAGCAGAGATAAAAGCATCGATCGCGACACGGAACTGCTGTCGCTTCATGAGTTGAGGGACAAAAAGTACCCTAATTTGAAGCAGGTATACGGGGACGAGGAAATGTTGTTCAACACAGCCCAGTCGCTTGCGACGCTTCTAGCAGATTGATGGAACGACCCCAAAAAATACCCAATCCGTTTGCACCCGAAACAGATCTGAGTGCAAATGACAGCGCCGAAGGGTTGACCTCGGTACACTCACCTCATATTGGGATACGTGCACGATTTGCCGTCGGCTGTCCGCTTGATAAGCACTTGTGTTTTTCCGATTAACCTTTGTATCAATAACCCGAAGTTCAAGATACGGTATGCCGTTACCAAGAAAAAGTATGTTCTTTCTTCGCGGTGTTGCCAGACGATATATTTGGGACAGACTCGGAATGATTTTTCTCTGCCGCCTAACGATCGTGGCCAACGTCTTCTACTTCTTGCACCCCAGGTGGGGGCCCAGCGCTACATTGCAGTACCCACCCGTGGTGTCTAGGCTATACAGCTGTGGGAGGGACGGCGCCTTCTGCGACGGAGTCTTCCCCAGTTTTCGTCACATGGCGGTATTTTCTGTGAACCAAGTGGCCGTTGCGTCCCAAATTGACTTCAATGA